TTGCCCGCCCCACGGCATACCTCCTGGTTGAACCTGACCTGCTAGTTTTAGGGTTTGGGGTTTAGGGGTTTAGGGTTTAGGGTTTAGGGCATTGTGCTTCTCACATCTGCAGACTCACGAATTCGACTGGCATGGATTTGCGATCATTGAAGCCAAGTCACCATTCATCTTGAATCAGTCCTGCGCAGCCTTACAGACAACGTCCGGCGACCGAGCAGCATAATCGTATTCGCACAAGGAAGGGAAACTGGCCTTTCCACCAAGTTCCGATGCTGGAATGTCTGGCAGAGCCATCACCTGCATCTGCGTGCGCTTCTCAGCCAGCTGCCATCCAGTGCAGCATTCATGGAAGCAACACGTAGCGTCACATGTCGGCTGGAAGCTTGGGCTCCCACGTTTCTCTGCCAAATGAACCTTGTCTTATCAAGCGTGGGATTTAGGGTTCAGGTTTTGGGTTCAGGGGTTTAGGGGTTCATCTGCAAACCCTTGCAGCACGGGCGCCAGATCAGTGCAAAGAAGCCAACCAGCCACACCACGTACCTTGACGCCAAGACAACCGGGAAGAAACATGGCATGTTCGCGTAGACATAATGTAGGGGCCTTAACAATTCGAAAAGGGTTTGGGGCCCATTATACCATAATGATTATAAGGAACCCCCAAAATAGTACCTGATTAAAGTTGTAATATAATATACCCCAAACCCTATTCTAATTATTAAGGGTTTTGGGGGGTTCCTTAATATAAATATAGTATAATATACCCCAAACCAGATTCTAGCTATTAAGGCCCCTAACTAAGCCCTTATAGTACCCCTTATAGCAACCCTTATTATAGACCCTTTTCAGAACCCTTTAAAGGACCCCTATTATTCTAATTATTAAGGCCCCTAAACCCTAAACCCTACACCCTAACCCCAAACCCTAAACCCTAAACCCTAAACCCTAAAATCCTAAACCCTATTCTAACTATTAAGGCCCCTACAGTAGCGCTTCCTCACTGCTCTCAGGAGGCGACTCAGTCCAGTCGGATGCCGTGCCCTCAAAGCCCTGGCCAATCGCCCTGAGGAGCAATGCGACAATGGGGAGGAACCCGTTTAGGGTTTAGGATTTAG